GTTGGTTTCAGGCATGCTAAACTGAAGCTGAAGAGTGCTAAATGTAGAGAAAAGCAGAGGCTATCTGCCAGTGATTTGGTCTAGCCAATAGCGTTTGCCATCATATTTATATTACACACAGAATATTTCGTGCCCGCTCCCAATTGGCCCCTACAATAGTTGCCAATTTACTAGGGTGAGAGGAAGAGTGTGAAATTCCCATATCTCAGCAGTGTTGTTTAGATTTGTGAAAAGTGCCAGGTAACGGCGAAATGCGTTCATGGTGCACAACGTGAGTCTGCATGGCCGAAGGCTCGTGCGCAAGACAACGGCGCATCGAGGATGCATCTGACTGACTGAATGTCTCACGCTTCACCTCCTTCGACAAGCACCCACCCTTCAAACACCTTATATCGCTACCACGGCCAGATCAAATTGCGAGGCTGGTTAAGCGTGCAGCATTTCTAGCTGCACCGTGGACATAGATACCTTTCCGAGCACTTCTACACAAGCCGCAACTGCTGCCCACGCAAAAGATGCATCATCTTATTTGCACTGCTCTTGGTGGCTTGCATTTTCGAGGAGATTTCGAGTGTGGCCGCATCGAATGCCGTTAGTTAAGCATGGCTGACCAAAACGGATTGGTTGGGCGGCCGGAGCGACGAAGGACCAGCGTCACGACGTGAATGTGGCCATAGATGCATGCTAAATGCAGCGCCAAATTCCCGACGTCAACTGTATCCAAGTGGTTGGCGCCGTTGTCCAATAGCAACTGGAAACAATGGTGTACCGCATCGCGCCGTGGGCATGAGCGGGGTTCTGCCGAAGTCGTTTCGTCGACGAACTCCATTCCACCTTGTATGTCCTTTGTCGATGACGTGAGTTCATTGCGGAGCTGCGCGATGTCTCCAAGCTTGGCTGCTTCGGACTCGGCAGACGGCGGCGGTCCTCGTGGTGCGACAAGCGAGCGATCATGAATGTCTTGACTGAGCTCGAGGTGCCTCGCCAACGTGTCGACGTTCTTTTCATGCACTTTGACAAGCAATGCTGGTTCCATGGCCTTCGCTGGAATTGAATTGCAAAATACCCGATTCTCCTACCTGGGAAGCTCGAGCGATGGAAGCGGTGCTCTTCTCGCCGACACTTGTGATGATACCCAGCCGGAGTCCTAAGTTGCCCATGGACTCGCCAAACTGGCCCATGGACCGTGCCTCTCGCAGAGTGTTTTCGTTTACAAAGCGAGCAATCGAATTGGAATAGCTAAAAATTTCATTCCCCACTGAATACCACCACGTCCAGACGGTGCGATCGCGGTAAATACATGATAGCCCACACGACCCTTGAGTCCCCAGCGCAGATGACAAAGGTCCACTGTGAAAAACGCTGATGCGGCACATGCCATGCAGCCCTCGAGGTTGGCGCCGTTGTCTACTGTGCACGGAATAGCCATCCTTGTTCTACAAAGCATCAGGTGATCCGCATTCCGTTGCAGAATGTACGTCTTTTGCTGCGATGCACATGCATTCGTCAATGATTGACCAACGCTCTGGTTTCCTCGTCAATCGCCTGGCCATTTCTATTTTCCCCCCAAATCACCCACATGGACACGTTTGTGAAGACGGTAGAGGCGTCGACCAAGACGATCGAGCGCCATGCAAACCGTCTTGGCGAACATGCTGAACGCTTTGGCCAGCGCGTGCAGAAACACGTGAACGATATGGAAGCGTCACTGCGCACTCCGTCGGCGGCGCCGGTCCCCGCGCCATTCAAACTTCAAGATATTGTCCAGTGGGTCAAGGACACGTTTGGCGTTAACACAGACATGGTGTACGACTGCGCCAAGAAGAACGACGTTCAAATGCTGCTTCAGATCCTCGATGGAGCGACGCCGGAGATGCGGCCCAAGCTACTCGAGTACAAGGACTCCCGCGGCCGCACCCCACTCATCATGGCTTCTTCGCACGGCCATGTGCTGTGTGTGGAAGTCCTGCTTCAACACGGCGCGTTCATCGACGCCATGGACAACAAAGGAAACACGCCGCTGCACTACGCGTGTCAAGAAGGCGCGATGGGGGTGGTCCAGTTCCTCATGTCTATTCCTGGTGTGAGTCCGTACATCCAAAACAACCGCGGCTTGTCACCGTTGGAAGTGGCGCGCCGGAGCGTCGAGAACAAGGTGCTCAATGCGGCTGGCTGCGTGAACCTGCTCGAGAATCGCACCCAGGTCTTCCAAGGGTGGGTGTACGAGAGCGTGGACAACATGGGGTCGTCTCTGCTTGGCCTGTCGGCACTGCAGTCGTGGGCCCATCGCTACGTCATCATACTGCGCGTGGGATCGCCGCAATTCCTTGAGATGGCCTTCTTCGACGTCGTACAGGGCCAGCGATCACCCCTTCCAAAGTCTACGTTCATGTTGCACGTGCCGTCTCCCGTGACGCTTCACACCAAAGCCAAGATGTTCGACTCGAAGCCGTTCGCGTTTAAGGTGTTTGGCGCCCGCAAGAAGGGCGCGGGACTCGTCGGTGCTCTCCATGAGCGCGAGTTTGCTGCACCCGACCAAGAGAGCTTCAACAGCTGGGCAGCATTTTTAACCGGCGGGGGCGCGGTCACCGCTCTGGTGGACCCGTACCTCATGGGCCATCCCGGCGTCGAGTTCGTGTCGACTCCTCAAGAGCCAGGGCCAACTACTCCCATCGCCCCGCCAATACCTCCACTGCAATCGATGCCCCCCATTCCGCAAGTACCTTCCGAGGCCGCTCAACAGCCGCCGCTCCTTCCCAGGGCCAAGGCCCTCGACGACAACTTTGTGTACGCGCCATCTGTGTCAGTCGCGGCTGTGCAAGCAGCAGCGGCTTCGGCGCCCCCTTTGGAAGAGCACGTTGCTTCGACACATCTAGAAACCACTGTGCCTGGCGAGTGCGTGGTCTGTTTTGACGGACCCCAAAATGCAGTGTGTGTCCCTTGCGGTCATGCCGCCGTGTGCATGCGATGCGCGGACCACATGAAACAAACGTCGCAGCAGTGCCCAGTGTGCCGCGCGGACGTTCGCCAAGTCGTCCAGCTCTTTCACGTGTAGAGCAATGCATTCTTCGCTCGGTTTGGTCGATTTATTTAACTAACTTTATAACATATCGAGCTTCGATTGAACGAATTTGTTGGCCAGCAGCATCGAAGTCGTGGGCCTTGATTCACGCCATTCACCGCAGCTCGCAGCATCTTCAATCACTCCCAACTCGACGCAGGTGTCTCAGCGTACTCAAGGGGCAGTCCACGTAGGAGCGTACGCCTCGTTCCAAACTCGTTGGAGGGGTGCCAGTGTACAATTTCTCTGTGGCCTGACAAGAATCATGGCCTTCCGAAAGGTTCAACCCAGCCCCGTGCACATCAGCGCTTGATGGCCATGGATTCGATGTTGTGTCAATCATTTTGGCGAAGGATATCCACCAGGGACGGGACCCCGTCCCTTTGGAATTTCTTGGAAGTGAGCAAAGGGCACTCCAGCATCACCCCAGACGGCTGCAACGCCGTCGAGCCGGTGACATTCAGTCGAGTCAAGCGAGGGCAGTCCAAATAGAGGGACTGCAAAGCTGGTAAAAGGGAAAAGTTGGCTGTGGGAAGGCTGTCCGTGCTGAGAACGATGGCCTCCAGTCGCACGCACAGATCCACGCGGATGGACGTCAGGGTCGGTGCCTCCACCTAATGCAAAATCCGCGCTAAAAGGAAACCCGCTGAGGTGGCGCTTCAGATCTCACCTCCAGCATGGCAAGCTGCGCACAACGAACCAAAACCAGCGAACGCAGGTGTAGCCACGCCCGCCGGCAGTGGAAGCGGACGAGCCCGTTGGATTGTGCAAAGTCAGCCGTCTGGACATTCGGCGCCGCGGCCATGATCGTATTGAACGCGACAAATGCAGGGCACGACGAAACGCGCAACTCAGTCAGGAATCCTGCGCGACCGTGAATGGGCAGCCTCTGAAGGTGCAAGTTGTTGGACACATCAAGCGTCGTTGCATGCGCAAGATGAAGCGATGGGGACACAAGCTCGTGACAGCCGTCCACACGCAAGCGCTTTAGATGCATGGCGTGGCAGGTCAAGGCGGACAAGTGGTAGTCTGACAGTGAGGCGACGTCGACCAACGACACGTCCTCGAGATGGCGGAACGACGTGAGGTGAAGCAGCTCGTCCGGAAGAGCAAACGACATGCATACGTCAAGTACCCGTGCGTGGCGGAAGTATGGGACCAACCTATCGTACCCAGTACAACCCAACTCCATGTTGATGTCACTCGAAAGATTCAGCCTTGGGGAGTGTCTAGCCGATCGATGGAAGCTTCTGTTCAACGAAGACATGCGAACAAGATCCATCGGGCCGAGGAAACTGAGAACTAGCCGCTGGACAGCGTCCACGTCGTGCCACTGCCGCTGCGCATCGCCTTGCTTGGTGGTCATTCTGGCACGGTGGCCTGGTTTGTTGAACGAACAAATGGTGATTATCCGGATAGAAACATGTCCGAAACAAAACACATTCTCAATACTTGGAAGTACTAGTACTATATTAAATAGTAGTACTACTTTGGCTTTCACATGTTATAATATGACTAAGACTATTTAAAGGTATTCCAGCGAATCCGATTTCTTCTCCAGTGGGCGGCTGTGGAGGACCACCAAAGCAAGGATGGGAGAACGAGGCCTTGGAATCAAGACTGACACATTCAAGCATGCGTGGGAAGGTGCAGATAAGGATTCGTTTCCTCAGTTATGTGAGTCCTGCCTGGGAGAAGATCCGTACGTGCGCATGATGAAGGAAGTGCATGCCAAGGTGTGCAAGACATGCGACCGCCCATTCACCGTTTTTCGGTGGAAGCCGGGCAAGAAAGCCCGGTACAAGAAAACCGAGATTTGCCAGACATGCGCCAAGCTCAAAAACGTGTGCCAGACGTGCGTGTTGGACTTGCAATACCATCTCCCTGTCCAGGTGCGCGATGCGTTCTTGGCCGAATCTGAACGCCAGATCGTCCCCGAAAGTGAAGCGAATCGTGAATGGTTTGCCCAACAACATAACGCAATGCTTGAAGAACAAGGCATCGTGTCTGCATATGGAAAGGCATCGGCGCCAAGTCAAGCCTTGCTGCGCATGGCTCGTGTGGATCCGTGCTACAAGCGCAACCGACCGCATCTGTGCTCGTTCTACGCCCGAGGCGAATGCAAGCGCGGCCAAACTTGCCCGTACCTTCATGAAATGCCCACAGCCAAGAACAATCCATTGGCGAAGCAGAATATCCAGGATCGATTTCACGGCCGCAACGACCCCGTCGCCGAGAAGATTTTGACTCAGCATGGCCACGCAGACAAACTCATCATCAACAGACGACGACGCGGAATCCCGCCCCCACCACCGCCGCCGCCATCGGCTAAGGAAGTGGCTCTTCCGGCGCAAATTCCACCGCCTCCACCTGGTCCGCCTCCTGCGTCGTAAGAGTTCCGCCACCGGCACGAGCTATAACGATACATGCAAGCAACTTGTCGTTGGTAGGATTCGTGTTTTTTCGGGAAAGGACTTTGCGTCACCATCTTCGTCACTTCACAGGTGGGACGCAATCTCGCTGGATGACCTTTACATCACGGAATGGATTGTCGTCCATATCATGCGCTGCCAGCAGCCCATTTCTGTGGTGGCTGCAGCGCATGTACCTTTGGGACCTGCTGCTTGGCACGGAGTGCTCAACATGCGGTTGACAGGGCGGGCGAGATGGATTTGGAATGCTCCAAGAGCAACCCTTCAGCAGGATGATGTCATATCGTGCGCAACATCGTGGCGAGGCAACCCACGACCTTGCATCCACGTCGTTGAGCCTCGGCACGACAAGAACCCAACATGACCATAGTACGATGCATCGTTAAGGAGCTTACTTCTTCACAACATCCCACCCCATTGCGACGAGGTGGATCGGAGCAAACATGGAGCTCACAAAGTCCGTGGACGTCAATGCACCAGCGCCCCCTGCACCCGCAACCACGTGAAGCGGCATCAAGTGCTCTTCACGAGGATGGCAGTCGCGCGCATTTGGCATCGATTCCCATGCCTTGAGCGCAGCCCCGCGGCCCGCCACGTCCGGGATGCCACACGCCTCGACGAGCGCGTCGCTGAACACCTTGGACTTTTGGAAGATGTTGCCTTGGCCGTGGAATGAGTGGTACGACATGCCGCTGCCGACAATGGCGATGTTCTGGTCGCGCAACGGGGCCAGCGCCTCACCGATGCGAAAGTGGAGGTCCGGGTCGGATCCGCGCACGACGCTCACCTGGACGATCGGGATGTCTGCGGCGGGGTGGATGAGCTTCATCGGGACGAACACGCCATGATCCCACTCGCGCGCCGCGTCGAGTTTGGACGGAATGTTCTGGGCATTCAAGAGGTCATGGATCTGGCGGGCAATAGCGGGCGACCCAGGGGCGTTGTACGTGAGTGCGTACGCCTCCGCAGGGAAGCCGCTGTAATCGAATAGAAGCTTGTGCGACGCCCCCGACGATATGGCCACGGTCGACGATTCCCAGTGGGCCGTCACCAGGACGATCGCGCTGGGCTTGGTGTCGTGGCCGTGGAGACCAAGCCACTGGGGCGCGGTTTGCTCCAAGAAGGTCCGCGCGGTCCCGTGGTCGGGGTCCGTCACCGGTCGGAGGATAGGCAGTGGGCCTGCACCATGATTGACAAAGATCGCGGGGGCACGGCGGCAGACGGAAGCGGCCATGATGTATGCGAGGTAGAAGAGGGATTGAAGAATGACGAGGTGCGGTCGACCCGTCATGGTGCACTCACAACTTCCATGAGGACATTCCTCCGAAACTCCGGAAATTCCTTCCGACCCCATGGCACGACAGTCGCACTTAGCAGAGCCAGTCGACAAATTTTCATGCGATCCTGTGAACGGCCACGACGCCAACGATCGACGCGATGCCACGAGATGGCGTGCATTAAGACTAGAACCAAGACTCCCCGAGAGCTACAGGACCTACAGCTGCGTGATGCATGTTCCCTGGGGCCTCCGAATGATTAGGGGAGGTATCTCTCGATGCCATTGTAGCGTCAGCAATGAGTCCAAAGAACCAGTCTCGAGCGTCAAATCCTCGACGTAGTATGGTGACGCTTGGCCGGGTGGTGCATGGAGTGGTGTCCTGTCTAGCGTGGGGAAGGGCCAACGATGGAGAGGTCAGGTCCCACGAAAGACGATGCCGAGAGAGATCGCTTTACTTTCTCCTTGCATGGCTTTTCTATCAGGGATGAGGGACTCCTGGGACGTGTCTGCCATGTAGTCACCTCTCCGGCATGCATATACACTCCACCACTTCAACGTGTAGGCATCGATGTCCAAGGACTGGTGGACCAAGTGAGGAGTTGAATTCACAGCGATCCATGGCTGACGCACCTCCGCTGCCCGCATTTTTGCGTTTGACGTGGCAGCGACTCGCGTATGGTCAAGTGCCAAAGCGCCAACTCTGGTAAACTCTCATCGCTGCAATGTACGGAAATTCAAGGCATCGCTATGCTATGATCGCCCATGCTGCAGCCCCAACAGTCAGCAGAGTCAACCACTTGGCACCCACGCCGTGTCGCGGCACATGGCTGGTCTTGTCCGTGCAGTTTGTCCGGTCCATTCCAGACAGATCAAACGTATCGATCTCAGCCCACCACTGCATGGTGTCGACCCCCACGACAACGCAAAGCCAAAGGACTGTGAAGCAGGGGCCAACTGGCCACTCGCCCGTCGCCCAGATAATGTGCGATTGCCCCCCACGCTTGAACGATACAGTATTCCAACCATCGCCGACGTCAGCGCGAACGTTGTCACACCCGGTCGTGTACGAAAACGACCGCTGACTTGCCGACGACCAAGTCAACGACATTGACTCGATCACAGTTTTTGGTCGTTTGAAACGATGACACCGGTGCACTCGGCAGGACGCCCATCTGTGTTGGTTGGACGTGATTCCCACAAGTGCACCGCAGTCACGGCGGTCGGGGCTTCACTAACGTTGCGAGGGATTCGACGGACATTGCAATCATGAGCTGAATGGCTCTGGCATTGGGTGGAACGTTTTAGTGGCGACCTAGAGGAGCCCCCAACGAGGCAGCGTGGTCGACATGACCTTTTATCACTTTCTGCACATGGTTAGGAAGGTTTGAACATGTTAACTACAGACGTGATGAAACTCCTCATGATGCGGACGTTCTGCGTGATCCCCGGTCCCTCCGCTTACAATACAAGCATTCAGTGTAAGCCCAACCACGCGGTTCGATTTGGATCACTCGCCGCCACAGGCAGCGTTAAACACCCTGCTGTCGGAGGTGGCTCGATGTGATTTCCATGGCATCAACTGGCTGACATGAGGGCAGGTAAGATTCGCCAGGCCCAACAGCCCACTGTCCTTTTCACAACAGCTCTCGATGTTGGTGGGTGTTGGGTCCCATCCCAACGCACTTTCTTGCGCATGGCATGGTAAGGCCGCGCGAAAAAGACGACACAACTCCATTGTGCACACGTTGTGCGAGTATGGACGGCACTGGAGTTATTCCCGACGACGACAATGTCAGCGATGTGTCGACAGGAGGGGTGGATGGAGCATGGTGTTGTTGGCGATTCCTTTGACCTATTCAGTCAAAACCGTCGCGACGAGCATGGGATGAGTTGAATCGAAGACATGGGTTGGAGAACATGGTCGATGTGCTGGATCATTCCAACCAATTAGCACAATGGTCGCGGAGAGTAAATGGGAAAAACGAGCTGGGAAGCCTTGACGCGGTCGATAAACTACCCGATCAGCGCCAGATAAAGTTTCAATTGTCGACTTCTTTTTGCAATTCGCGCACGAGGAAGTTGCTGCTGACGTCGAGACACCTTATCTCGTAAAAGTGTGTTTACTACCCACCCACCCAGCAGTAAGAGGGACCGTAACCCCCCACATTGCCGCCTTCCGACTATGTTGGATCCGCGGCCTCACCACCGTTGGAAGCTGGATGATCTGTGCTTGCAAGTGTGTTGCTTGCAGTGGATTTAAAACTCGGTAATCCATCGCATCCAGTCCCGTTTGGAGGGGGCGCCATGTGCGCTTTCTCAAGCGGCTTGTCCGGCTTGGTTGGATACGGTGTTGAACCGACGAGAGGCTGCAGTGCGACCAACAACACCTGCGGTTTGGCGAAGACGAGAGGACATTTTTGAAGCGCGATGCATGTACTCGAATGCCACATGACACCAAAGGAAGGCGGGGGACGGACATTGGCCGAATTGAGGAGCGCAGGTTGAGAACGGTCCTGGTGATACCAAAACTTCATTCTTCGATCGAGTGCGTTCATTGAGTAGGGCGGTCCACCCTCCCACCCCTTCGTACGCTCAGCACGTCACGTCCGTTCCACAAAAAGATAACCATCATTCGACGATGGAGTGCATATCGTGATTGCGTAAGCACTAGGCATACGACCTTCATTCCTCGAACGAGCGATGGTCTCCACGATTTCGAAGGGGTTCGACCAGGCACCAGCCTATGCAATGGAGGAGGGCAATTGTTCGGATGCAAACGCGAGGGTGCTCCATGGCGTTCTCGAATTGGAACGTCGGCCGAACGAAAGAGCGGTGGATAAACTATTTTGCTATGCATCGGAATGAAACCATGAATTGCGGCCCCCTTCTGCAAATACAAGTGGCAGCCCCCTAGTGAGAAGTTTACCCGCGGTTTGGGCTGCGGGACGTAGTGCGAAGACCGTTTGGCGACGAAGGTTCCGCTAGGCACACGGTCAAAAGCTAAGCAGGGGTACTAGAGGCACTGCAGGAGGCGGGCGTCGTTGATGCCATTTTTGAGCCGAAAGAGATAAATCACGCCCAGTGGACAGACGTAGAGTGAGTTTGCGATAACTATGCTTGTTTTAATCCATGAGATTATTGCGCTCATGGCTTCTTACGGTCATGGCTTAGACTTGCGGGCGCGTTGTGTACGGGTACGACGCATTGGGACGCTTCAACTGGTCCACTGTCTGTTGAATCGTGATCAAGCGATTCTTGAGTTCGCGGGAGTCGTCTTGCCATTCTTTTTCCAATGACTTTACATGGCGGAGGGTAGCCTCATCGTTGCGAGTTCCGCATTCCGAAAACAATGAGCCCCCGACGAAGACACCTCCAACAAATCCGATGAACGGACCTTTGCCAACCCATTTGCGGTCCCCCGTGCCTTGAAGCCGCGACACAAACTGCTTATAGTGAAGTTCGTACTTGGTCAACCGGCGTGCCCAATCCCCGATGGGAGGTGGGGGCGAACTTCCTTGAGCCGATCCTTCGCCGGCCGTGTTGAAACGACGGGTCGGCCCGATGTTCGTACGCCGCAAAGGAACCATCGATCGGCGGAAAACGCAAGACATCACGATGAGCCGTCGAATTCGGAAATGCGCAAGCAAAACTATGTAGGTGCGTGGATCAGGGACCTTCATCGCATGTTGCAAGTGTTTGCGCAGAGAGGTTCATTCTACTGTCCGAACGATTGTCGTCAGCGCTAGTTTCTGGTCTTTTGGCTGAGGAATCGGGCGCGATGAGCGTTGGCAAGGAGGACGCGGAGGCAACGATAAAAATCGGAAATGGTCCCACATGTACCTTCGTGGTTCAAGTGAATGAATGCTATATTGTCAGCGGCTGTCGCAGCATCAAGACCAGACTTCCCCGCGCAGCCCGTTCTCCTCCAACTTCAGCATTATTTCTTCAGCTGTTGGCTTCGTGCTCCATCATTAGTGCTACTG